TTTACCAAGGGCAGGGATGGGACCACCTTGCTGGCAGCCAAGGGAGGAGCAGGGCAGGCCCTTGAACCAGAGTAATCCTTCCAGGCAGGTTAAAGACATAACAGAAGGCAGAGTTTGTTCTGCATGCTTAGAGAGGGAGAAGGTCAGGGGATGGAATTATATCATGAAATTAAAGACATGCCATGACACCCAGCACAGCTTTGCTGGACGTGGCAAGTTCCTGCATTCCTCACATTGTCCCCTGATGTGGGGTGCTGGCACAAAGGCAGAGGTTGTGGAACGTCAGTTCCACTTGGGGTTTTTGAAAATACAGTTTGTTTTGACACGTGGGATTCTCCTGACCCCCTTGTAAGCCCTGTGGTGTAAGATATGATAGATCAAAGGGAGAAGTTAGGGAGGAGTGGGGTGAGGGGAATAGGAGGCTGTGTAGGACCTGGCTCTGAAAGATACTGTAGGAACATGTCATTTCCCAGTCGTTGCTCCTTCATTGATATGGTTTGTATAAGTTTGTCCTGCTTTTTTCTCTTTAACGAATGACTTGGCTCCAATTATTTAGAATTAACTACAATTAGGATTCCATTACGAGTGTGATGAACTGAACAATCCTGCTGGTGGTGTCTTCAGTCTTCATGAGATTAACATAGCCAGGACAATCAGTGTCTGCAAAGAGGTCACCTTGCCCTAAACTGACTGTGCCCAGCACAGGATGGCAGAGTAGCTGAGGTGGGAAGGCACCTCTGGAGGTGGCCAGTACAGCCCCATGCTCAGTGTGGTCATTGGAGCAGCTTGTCTGGGTCGTTTTCCAGTTGGGTACTGGGTATCTCCAAGGGCAGAGCCTCCACCATCTCTCTGCTCTTGGTCATGCCCTTGGTAAAATGGTTTTTCCTCATGAGTAAGCTGATTGATCCTTTCTGAGAAGCCCTGCTGCTGTGGAGGTGGCCCATCTGCAGGGCTGACCAGGAGAGGAGAGAAGTGGACTTTGTTTAAGGTGTCTGAGGAAAAACTGTTTGGGTTGTCAGCAAGGGAAGGCTCATGGCACGTGTTGTGGAGCTCAGGTTTGAGAAAACCTGTGCCTTGCTGCTGGGTTGGTGTTGGGCACCTCGAGTCAGGGCTTCCTCCACTGAAAACCTCTTGTTTCACCAGGAGACCCTCTCCTGGTCCTGCTGCCCTTCCCAGCTCTGGCTGCATCCCTGCTTGGCTCATCCCTTGCAGAGCAGGGGCTCGCTCCCTGGGGTTACACCCTGCCAGTGACCTCGGGAAGGCAGTGCTCCTGCTGGGAACATGGACACTGCCCGGTGCTGGGGCTCTGTGTGTGTGTGTGAGCACAGGCACGCATCCTCATGCCTGCTTCTTCCCCCAAAGGAAAACAGGCTCCAAACAGAGCAAGGGCTGGGGGAGGGAGCCTTGAAGGCTTTAACTGTTGGCTTCCCCTTACTCATGTTTTTCCTGTTAGTGTTTTGTCTTCTTGGCATCCTTCCTGTTCTTTATATGCGTATATATGTTATATATTATTGCCTCCTTGTTGCTGTCTTTATGCTGCACCCTTTGTTGTGTAAAGCACCGTAGCAGGGAGGCTTTGGCTGCTGGGAGTTAATCAGGTTTTGAGCACCAAGGAGAAACACAACATATTTTTTTTCTTCTTGGAGGAGAGTTGGACCAGCTGCAGGTTGCTCCTGTTGCTGTGAAGCCTTGCTGTTCATATGCACCATCAGTGTGGCCACTTGTGGAAGTGGATGAAAATTTTGGGAGAGTAAACAGAGCAAAGGAAACCTTGAGATATGACCTTCAGCATGCAGCAAGGGTAATACCCATCCCCAAACCACCTGTGAGGAATGCTTGGTTTATTCCCCACAAACAAACCTGCAAAGAAGGGAGGCCTGTGAGACTTGCTGGAATCACTGCCTGACCTTCCCAGAGACAAGAATCCCTGTGTGTGACCAGTGTGCATTTCCAATAATATGGACTGCGGGGTCTTTGCACTCCCCTGCCTTTTGTCAACGTCTGGTGGCCATACCAAGTGCTGGTGTCTTCCTCTCCCTGGAGGTGCTCCTCTGGAAGCCTTCTCTGCCCTTTGAGGGTGGAAGTGTGCCTCCTTTTTATTCCTTGATTGCTCTGGAAACATCGCGTAGCATCCCTGAACCAGATGTGCGTACTCCAAAAACGTTTGGATCGGAAGTGGGGAAGAGGGCACTGGGGAAGGGGGGCGGGAGGAAAACTTAAATTAGAAGAAAGCCAAACAGCTATTGCTGGAGACAGATGATTACAGCTCATGTCAAGGCTGTTTCCTGCATGCCAATGATAGATCAGTAAACAAACGCCTCTCTGCGAACACAAAGCAGGCAGGAACTCTGTTTGGAAGAGAGAGGTCGGGGTAGGTCTCACTTCACTTGGTGGCAGGAAGCCCCTATCACATGGCCCTGGGAATTGTGCATGTGGGAGATACGCCGAGAGGCTTCTGCTGGGAGACTTCACATCCTTCCCAGGGTCCAGCCAACAGGTTTGAGAGCTCCCTCCCCTCCCTCTTTCCTCCTGCCTCCTCCCCTGTCCTTCCTTTCCCAGTTTAATTTTGAAACGCTATCAGATGACTGCTTTGTTCCCCCAGACAATGGCAGGGAATAAATTGCAGTGGCAAGGTTCTCCAAATGGAGAAAAATTGCAGTGGCAAGATTCTCAGTATCTTCTCTCCCTTTCATAGCCTTGATGTCCTGCTCCAGGATGTATGTGCCAGGTGCAGTGGCCTCAGGCTGGGGTTCTGTGGGGCTGTGTCTCCCATTGCTGGTAGAAAGTTCTTATGTGGTTTTTAGAGAAAGTAGCAACCTGTCAAGAAGTACCAGCTTGATGGGTGTGTGTATGTCCTTCTTGGGTCTCCAGCTGACTGAACTCAGCCCTGTTTGTTTCTTCTGGGCAATTTGTAGGTCCCTGGTCACATTGCTGATGAGGCAGGCAAGCGAAGCATTTCAGGTAACACTTCTCAGCCCCTGGCAGGACTCCCTTCCCCAGCCTTACACACGGTCTTCTGTGCTCTCTCCCCACGGCCCTCCATCTCTCCCTCCTGTGCACACAACCTCATTGCTTCCCTTGTAACAGGTTGGGTTTGTTTTCCCTTCCATGTGCTGCTTTGTCAAAAACTCTCCATGAGCTGTAGCAGGTCACAGAGATGTTCCAAAGGGCCTGAGCCAGCACACAGGGTAGTGTGTGGGTGATTGTAGGAGAGATGTGGGCAGTCAGGAGGGACAAGAGTTCCCTCTGCCCTTCACAATGAGCTGTCGTGTTAGCTCTGGATGCCTTGTGGAGCCAAAACTTGGAAAACAAAAGTAGATATTCTCTGTCTACTGGAGGCAGTTTTCCATCATTGCCATCACAATTCCTCTGGTCAGATGTTGGCATATGCCTGTGGGTCAGGCCTTCGAGTTATTTCTGGTGATCTTATTATTGGAAGAGATGATCATATCATCTCTGAAGCTCTTCTGGCCTTGTGCTTGGCCCCAGGAAATTATTTGGCTGTTGGACTTATTGAGAAGTACCTTATTATTTTCTGCTGTTTTATTCCAGAGGTGACTCTTTTCCCCCTCGTGTGTCTTCTGATGTGTTTGGATAAATATTTACTCTTTTGAGCAGAGCCAGCTAATGTGCTGCAATAATCCTCTAGATGATGCTGAGGGCACCATGTGTGCCCTGCTGCTCAGAGGGAAGGCACAGCCACCCGTGTATCTCCTAGGGATGATTTTACTCTCTAAGCAGTGTGTGTTGTCAGTGGGGGTGTCAGCAGGTACCTAGATGTTGTCACAGCTTTGGAAGCTCCTGGAACACTCTTTAATCTGCCTAGTGTGAGTGTGTTGCTTTGGTTACTCCAGCCACACTTGTGCCTGGCAGGGACAGACATCCCTCTGCCCTTGGTTCCAAGTCATGCTGATCTGCTGCTTGCAGTGGTGCTTCTTTCCCATGAGACTCTTGCAGCACTCAGCAGCTGCTTTGTGGCTCACTTCTGCAAATCAAGGCTCATGGAGTCTGTCCCATCCACCACAGATGAAGAAACAAGTGCACCTCTTATTCTGTATCATCCTCTTTTCAGCCTGTCCCACTGCCAGGGAGCTGACTGTGCTGAGCATCAGCACACATCTGCCTGTTCCCAGATGTTCGTTTTCAGGGCAGGGTTTGTTAGCAGGCTGTTGGAAAAGGCTGAGAGATGGAGTTTCCTGATGGGGAAACTGGGGGATTTATGAGGACAGAGGAGTACATCCCCAGCAAACATTTGATGTTTCAGCAGAGCCCCAGGGATTGTGTGTGTGGACACAAGAAATGTTGTATTTCACACTGCTAAAGGCAGACGAGGAGCTGCAAGGCACCAAATGAGTGCTGAGTGATCCCTGCTCTAGGGATGTTGTAAACCAAGTGCAGAGCAGACTCTGTTGCAGCTTTGCAGGAATCTGCTTTGGCTGCCTGGGTGAGTCATTCTTTGGCCAAGGCCACAAGTATGGTTAGTTTTTTATTATTTTCAATCCATAACAGTTAACGGATAGATGAATAGATTTTGTTCCTTGGGCTGGTAAATTTTCTTGACAGTGTTGCAAGGCTGCTCTATGTCTAGATGTGAAATGGGTGCTTGTTCCAGTTACTAATGAGGGAGAGAAGCCAAGGGGGTTTATTGTCTGGGAAAAAGAGAGTCTGCCTAATGGTTAGCAATGAGCTGCCCCGAGTGTGTACACATTGAGTTGACCCAGAGTTCACTCTTTGCCTCAGGAACATTGCCAGTATGGAATAAAAGGAGGGAGAGAAAACTGTGAACAAACAAAACTGATTTCCCCCCACCCCCCTTTTTCCTTTCTCTGCCCAAAAACAGTGGAAAGGAGAGATACTTTTGTTCTTTACTGTTTCTGGTGTGGTGGGCTGTATTTTTTTTTAATGACAAGAGGCACTTGGTCTTGTCAAATGCCAGGCATGGCAGAGCAACCTCTGGCAGACCAGCTGGTGGAGAGATCTGAGAGACTTTTCCATGTATTGCCTACAAGATTGCTTGTTGTCATTGCAATGCTTTAGATCAAGCAGAGCACCCTGATAAGTGAGCAGAGATGGTGCTGCAGAGTAACAGGGTAATTCTTCTATTTTCTTTTCAACAGAAAAGAGCATTGTAGCACAATAAAGTGGAGATGGAGTCTGTTGCATTGACTGGGTAGCAGTGGCACTCAGAGAGGGACAGTCATTCCAAGAGTGCTAGAAATCATGAGACAAACAGAATGACTCATTTTTGTGAATGATTTATCTTATGCCCACAAGGAGTTGTCCTGTGAAATGAGATCAGTAGCAGGCTAACATGACCCACCAGAGAGAAGACCAGTGGCTGCAGTGCAGTGTCTCTTCAGGCTAAAATGTTTTCTTATCCCAAGCTTCCAATGTTGTGACAGTTTTTAATGCCCAGCAACCACTTCAGACTTGTGGCCTTAACATACGTTGTTGTAAAATTGGTTTTGGTTTAGTCTTCTTCATGGGGAGAAAAAATCTAAATCTGCTGAAATTTTGACAGCAATAAAAGCCTTCTTGAAATGTGCTCCATATATAATTCAAGGTGCAGCAATTGATGATGAGTCAAAGACAATTTTTGCCCTCAAAAACCGTCAACTCCTCACTGGGCTGTCCTCAGAAAGCTGTCATGTCTTGCTTCAGCTCCTCTCCTGGATTTCAAGGAGAAAGGTGTGTGTGTGTAGAAGGCAAAGAGAAGGATGCTGAGCAGAGAGCAATGCCTCTTCCTTGTGTGTGTCTGCAGGTGACCTGCTGCCCTGCTGTGTGCTGACATGATGACAGCAAGCAAGGTGGCCGATGTGAGCAGCAAGTCTGGGGGTGCTGTCTGCAAGTCTGAGAGGTGAGAGCTTTCCCTGTTCCTGTGCCAGTGTGCTTTGCTTGTCTTTATTATCCCCAACACAAAGAAAACCAAAGGAAGGAAACCTTCTCTCTGCTGGGGGCTGTCCCTCTCTCCTCCCACATTAAAACGTACCCCATAGGTCCCATCTTATGTGTATTAACTCATTCAGTCAGATATTCTAATATTCTAATATTCCAGACTCACAGTGCTGGAAAAGGTCTGCCCCAAGGCATTTGTGCTGATGATATCTCTGTCAATGTTTTCCCTGCCTGCACTTGAAGTCTTCAACCCTGGGGACTCCTCAGAAGAGCCCCAGTGTCCCCACCCATTGCAGGGTGGCTTCTACTCTGAGGTCCAGCCACCAGTGGCACTGTGATGCACAGCTTGGGAAGGACCGTGGTGTTTACAGCACCAGCTCTTAACCAAAGCACAGTGTCAGTGTCACTGCCACAGCCAGGAGTTAAATATCTGTGAGGCTAAGGAAGAACAGGTGTGGCTCAGGTCCCATTTCCTCTCTCAAACCTGTCCCAGGCTCAATTTGCACCATGACCAAGTCTGCAATGGCTGCCAGCACTGCTTAGCTCCAGGACAAAGCTCCAGGCTTTCCCAGGGTACCCCCAGAGATGCTCTTACAAGACTGCTGAGTTCTGGAAGAGGCACAGTTGACATGTTTAAAGTTAATGGGGCAATTTCCCAAGCTGAATCTTATGTTGGGATTGTGGTTAAATGGGACTAATGATATGGGTTTGCATCCTAGTAATTACCTTTTGTTGTCTTGGTGCTCTTTCCCAAGCCCAGGCAAACCTCAAAGACATGGCCAAGTGCTTCAGTTCAGAAACATTTTGTGTTGGAATAATTGCCTGTTCAGCAGGATATTGATAAAATATCACAGTATTGATCCTATGATACCACACACCTGGAAATCTCTAGACTAAATAGATTTGGAATTTTTGTTGCACTTTGGACCCAAACAGTAAAGATGTTTAATCTGAGAATGTTGAATTTGGTTTCTGGGTGCTGTGAGAGTGTGCCTAGGGGCCTAAGTGCACCTGTGGACTGGGAAGGTAGACCCCATAGAAATGGAATAATAAAAGTGCAGTCTTTGGGCATCAATATGCATTTGGGGAACATTAGGATGGATGAGAGAGATCTTCTGAGCAGGCACTACAGGAATGCCAGCTGTACCATATGCTTTCTCCTCTGTGTAACAACAGTAATTTTGTTGTTGTTTGCAAGTGCTCCATTTTGCATTTGTTTTCTTAATGCCTGATGATGTCCAAAGCTCTGCTGCACTTCTGCACACACACATACACACATTGGTGAAGCTCTCACTGGTATCAGCATGGCTGATGTACAAAAAAACACCTCTCTCACCTGCAGCCTACTTCGTCCACAGAGAACAGCTCCATTTCAAACCTCATCTTGGTTTCAATGAGAGAAGGGCAGTATGTTCTTTCCCTGGGCATCCTCCCCTCTAAGCCCATGTCCAGTGCTTGGTTTGAGCATCCTCTGCCATCAGCTTTATGAGTAAAGCTTGAGGAGCTGAGGAACTAAGCCAAGGATGAGCAATGGCAGTGAATGTTTCTTTCCTTTTTGTCTTTGATATGCAGGATCAAGCTTGCAGATAAGAACAATACAGCAGCTGTGAAGGAATTAGAAAAACCTTTGTGTGGATTTTTGAGTGAGAAATGTTCTGAAGGTTCCTCTGTTGCCCTGGGTTTAAAACCTGAAGCTGAACCAGTTTCTTCTGTGGTGAAGAGCCCACTGGGAGCCTTGGAGAACTTGATGCTGGATCCAAGGCTCGACTGCTTTCAGCAGAACATGCTTAGTCCTAAAATGATCATCAGTGACCCATCTGTGGATCTGAATGTCAAAGAAAATAATAAAATCATCAGGAGGCAGATAGGAGGCACTCAGAATATACCTGGGAAAATTGGCTTGAGGAATAAGTCCTTCAGCATCAAGGAGAAAATTTCAGAATGGGAAGGGAAGAAGGAAACGCAGTGTGCTCCTCGCAGAGAGGAGGAGCCAGGAGTCAAAGAGGAGCACAAGATGCCTTGTGTGACTGAGAAAATGAGTGGGGAGGCACTGGTGACTCGAAAAGCAGAGGCCAAGAGACTGATGAGCTGGGAACTGGAGTGCAAAGGGGCAGGCAAAGAGAATGAGAGGAAAGCAGGAACTCAGAAAGGCACGGGGCAAGCAGCAGAGCGAAAAGGGGAAGGGCAGAAGGATGAGGAAATGGAGCTCAGCCCTGGAAAATGCAAGGAGGTGAAAAGTGGGAAGTGGGAGGTCCAGAAGGAGAATCTTTCAGTGCTTAGTCAGGTCAAGAAGCTAGAGCAGGCTTTGAAAGATGGCCCAGCAGAGCTGCAGCCACAGTTGCCTGGTACTTACTATTCCCCACAGTGCTTGCAGGAGAAGGCAGCACAAGGGCACACTGCTCCCGAGGGCCATGAGGGCGTATGTGGAGGGACTGAGCTCAACAAAAGGCTTCCTGGCCTGGACTCTGACATCAGTGAACCGATTTTTGGGACTCTAGAAGAGATAAGAACTTCTCATGTGAAATCCAAGCAGTGCACGGTGGAGAATGTGTACACAGAGCCAGGGGTGCCAGAGAAGAAGCCCTTCATCAACCCCCTGCCCAAGCCTCGGAGGACTTTCAAACACGAGGGGGAAGAGGACTGGGTGCCAGCAGTTAGGAACAAAAGGAACTTACCCCCCCTGCCATCCATTCCTCCCCCTCCTCTGCCCTCCTCTCCTCCCCCATCAGCTGTGAGCAGGAGGCTCTGGAGTGGGAAGCACAAGAACAACGCTGACCACAGGTATTGGGGTTGTGTTTTATGAAGCTGTTGGTCTTCATGGTGGAGTCCCCACCTTCCCATCTTTCCTTTTTGCTCAGAATCTTCAGCATAATCAGCACTCAGTCATCTCTCCCAGCATGGATGGGTGGCCAGCACTACTCCACAGGGTAACTGTGAAGGGATAAGTCAGATTTAAGGTCACTGTATTACATGGCTTAACCTTCAAGCCCAAAATTGAGGGATTTGGGGTTTTGTTTTGGTTTGTTTAGCAGAAACTCTAGTTAATTGCAAAATGACCACAGCTGGTCTGGAACAGTGTTTGGAATGATAATCTCTAGTCTCTACTGCAGTATTTTCACTGTCCATAGTAAACCTCAGTGAATCTGACGTGTATATATTCTTCTGCAGTGCTTGCTTGCCTTTTATCCCCTTCTACATGATTGTCACACATTTTTGGGGTGGGGAACATAAAATACACTGCTTTTCTAATGCCCTCTGGATAAATTGTCACTTAAAAATTCCTGGCTCCATTGCAGAAAGGAAATCAAAATTTGCTGGGTTTGCTCATGGAGGGCAGAGTTTTACCCTTTCTACCATTCTGCAAGCGAATTTTGTTTTTCTATGCTGCTCAGAGGGCTGATTTTGGGGCCCTCTCATGCTTTTAGCAGGTGAGATCTGTGCTGTAAATGGGACCTCCCATGTCCTAAGGTTGTGTGCAGTGTTCCAGGATGTGCCATTTAACACTTGCGTCTTCACAGTGTGCTATTGCCATGACAACCCAGATTATCTGTGGCACCCCCAAACGCCTTTATTTGCATGGCTGATAAAACCAGCCAACCTCAATATTGCTTTTCCACCCTTTATATGGGATGAGGCAGTGAAACCTTCTCAGTAATTAGTGTGGAGAAGTGAATTAGCTGTAATTTGGCTAAAAATACCTGTTAACTGCATCGCTGTCCTCTCTGTGCTCCTCCTCCTCCCCCCATCCGTGGTGCAGGAAATCCTATGAGTTTGAGGACTTGCTGCAGTCATCGTCCGAGCACGGCCGGGTGGATTGGTACGCGCAGACCAAGCTGGCCCTGACACGCACTTTATCCGAGGAGAACGTCTACGAGGACATCCTGGGTAGGGGCTGTGACAAACCACGCTCACTTCTTGGGTAGAATTTAAAAAGTTTCAAAAAAGGCAATAAGAGACAAACAGTAAAGCAAAAGGTTATAGCGGCCGGGTGCTTGGCATTCACTTGCTGTTTTGGAGACATCCCTAAAATTCATCAGCCCGTTGCATATTCATAGACCTATCACACATTTTCAAACTTTTTTATAAACTATTTTTTATATTTTAAGAACTGTTTTACGTGGCTACTTTTTGAATTTGTTTTTTTTCGAGTATGCGTGGTTTTTGGCTGTGGTTTTAATTTATTTTTTTATTAGTTTTAATTTGGGGTGTGGTCTTCAATTTTTGCAGATGGTCAGTGTTGGTAATTGGTATATTAGTAGCAGGTGTTTTTACTGGGTGTTATTTAACTAAGTAGGTAGTTTACTTACTACAAAGATACTTTTTTAGCTTATTTTACTTTTAAATAAAATTATATCTTAAAAATTATTTTAACACTACACATATAGTATCCACTGTAATATTTGCAAAAAGCCAATACCATAATATGTATTTATAACAAGAATTCTGCACAGGGAAGGCAGCTAGTCCTGAGTAGCAGGGACTCATGCTCAACAGACATTCAGCAGAGGTGCTGAATAAAGTATGTTTATTATCCAAATGTAAACCAGGACACATTTTGCACATATTATTGGCAAGTAATAAGAAAACTGGGCAAAGTACTTCAAAGCTCATCGCTTCAAAGATAAACCTGAGGCATATGGGAGGCAGCTTTTATTTTTTGCTGGCATATCTCCTCTGCCTTCTTTTTGTCCTATGGATTAATTCTCACAGCTCTGATCTGTCCATTGTGGTGATTTTGTCACTGCTGAGATAATGCAAACAGTCTGAAAATGTAGCCTTGAAGTCAGCTCAGGAATAGGATTGTGTATGGCTTCAGGTACCATTGCAATTAAGAAACTGGGTCCCACAATCTTTGAAATTGAGTTATATTTAGTTCTCTAACTTCAGTGTCAGATCAATGCCATTCTGAAGATTATTTCCTGTAACTCTCTCCATTTATATAGTGTTTTTTAATATTGTGAGTTAGGTGGCCTTTGATGGACCATAGGATAGAAGTGTCCCCCTTGAGAAAGCCTTAATGAGTTTTAGTAGCTCTAGGCTGGTGCTGTGTAAATCTCTTGGCTGAGGTCAGCAGATTAGGAAGGGAAAAGCTGCATCAGCTCTTGCCATGCTGCTGTAATCCTACAAAGGTGCTCTGTGTTGTTCACCATAGGAGGAGCTGCACTTTCTCAGGAGCAGGCCAGGCTTTACTCTTTTGATATTAATAAAATCTGATCATACTTGATGAGAAAGAACTCTTAAAGGAATTGTGTTCCTTTGGGACTGATGGCAGACAAGGCAATTCTAATCCATCCTTTCTGGCATTTTTGAAGCTGTCAGCCTCATTTGTGGAGCTAAGGGCCTTGTGTTTGCTTTTTTTCTTCTCTTTACTTGGGGGGCCAAAGGGACAGGGAGTATCTAAGCAGCTGCTGTGGGGTTTTTGTGTTGGGGCATGATGGGAGGTCTCAGAAACCACTGAGTAAGGGTCACCTTGTCAGCTGGAATAACATGGATAGCATTACAGAGTGGCTGTGGAGGCAAATCCATCTATTCAAACACAAGCACACCCCCGTGTCCCAAGTGTGCAGAGAACTCAAATATCAGCCTGAAGTTCCTCTCCCCTCCAGCTTTTAGTTGCAAAGATTAGAAGAAAACAAAGTTATAGGTAATTGTCAGCTAATAGAGCGTGTTTGTTTTTTTTTTTTTCTTGCTGCATGTTAAGGCTTTGCCTGGAGTCAGTGATCTTTAATTGGTTCCTGCAATCCCGGTGGTGTTACCATGGAAGCTTGGGAAAAAGGGTGGACAGGGATAGCTCAAAATAAAAAGCTGAAGCTTTGTTTTTCACAAGACCACAGACAAGTTTAATCCACGAAACAAGCAACATGTGAAAACCTCACCAGTGGAGGGGGAACCAAGACTTCAGCCACAGGACACTGCTGCTGGCTCACAGACAATCCCTGTGCCCATCAGGACGTGCAAGCACACACCTACACACACCCATATGTGTGATTTAGGGGGGGTTTAGCTGCTGGTGGGATAATGGCTCCAATTCCCAGCAAGTCACACAGATTTCCTTCATGTACCCTTTTTTCCCCCTGTTCACCGTTGCTTACCTGGAATATTGGAAGCTGGCTGATGGATGACAAGGTTTATTTGTAAAAAAGAGGGAAATGGTTCTTTTTTCTTCTAGATTGAAGTTAATTTGACTTGTTTAGCAGTTTGAGGATGGGACAGCCAACAGAATCCAAATTTATTCTGTTTTTCTTCTGTCTTCCCAGTTGCATGACAGCTAAAGTATATTTTCAATAATGAAGAGGCCATTGAAATTAGAAAGTGGAGCCAGTTTCAGGGACAGGAGAATGTTTGCTGACCAAGTGTTTGCTTTGCTGGTGTCACCCACTTGCCTTCTCCATGGTGAATTTGGATTCCCTGCTGGAGCACTGGGTGTCACCAGCTACTGGAGAGGACAGTGCTGGGAAACACTTGGGTTTCTGTCCTTGTCTGAAGAGTTCAGCTGCAGCCCTGCCCCAGCTGGGCAGGCAGGTGGGAGTGCACTGGTTAGACAGATCCCACAGCCATTACTGGTCCTGCTGCAGAGCCTTGCAGCACCACTGACTCCCAGTCTTTACTCTCAGCCAAGCATTATGTGACAGTAAGAGAAAGGCAGTTGCTTCAAGTCCCAGCTGTCCACTGGGATAGGGCATGAAATGAGGCAGTGAAGAGACAAGGCTCATAACTTATCATTTGCCTGTGCAGATGCTTGGGCTGAGCTTTTGTCAGTGGTTTCTTAAATGCTTGGGTGGAGATGTCACAACCTGCTTTGTCAGAGCTATGCTCTTTTTGAACACACTTAGGCTTACATTCCCTAGTACTGCTGAAGAGTGGGATATAAGAAGTTCATTACATAGGATCAAATTAGTTGTGTGCCTCATCTGCAGAATTACTGGGAAGAAAGGAACCTACATCTACTTCAGAGATGTGTGTTGTGTCCCACATCCTCTCCCCCCATCCTTCTCCAGGGCAAGAGCATCCCAGCTTTGAGTGGCTTAATCCTTCCCTCTTTCTAAAATCCAGCTTGTGAGATTGAGGTCTCCATGATTGGTAGATGTGTTTGAAATCCTGGATTGTGTGAGAGAGATCCATGTTCAGAGTGTGGATTAAATCTTGGGCAGTCAGCCCAAGAGCAGGGCATCAATTCAGTCCCAAGTAAGTGATGACCAGATGTCATCCCCCTAAATGTGGGGCTTAAACACAGAGAGGACCTTCATGCTAGGCTTCAGCTCACAATTTTATTGAGCAACTCCAAGCAGAGGACTGGAAAGAAGGAAATATATTTATGAAATAGTGCGCATGAGAACATCACAGCTCTTCTGGACACAGGAAAATGAACTTGAGGGCTCACAGGGTCTTTTCCATCTGTACTATCTGTGATATGTTTCTGTGGCTGCATTTGTCTGTCAGAGTTTGGACACTGTCCAGCAAGCAGCTGGATTTTTAGGGCTATGGAGAGAATGAAGCAATTGCAGGAATGCTTGAGAACAGGTCTTTATGTCTGATGTGGGAAGTGGGAGAAGACCAGCGGATCCCTAAACGGATTTTTATGGCAAACCTCAGAGATTTTGTGCACTTAGAACCTTTTGCTTTTGGCTTTTTGCTGCAGATCCGCCATCAAAGGAAAATCCTTATGAGGACATTGAGACCAACAGCCGCTGTTTGGGGAAGAAATGTGTCCTGACCTTCCCAGCATCCCCCACCTCTTCTGTACCTGGGACTCCCACAAAGGTACTTTGATTCAAGTGACCACCTCTTCTGCTCAAAAAAGTTTTTGGGTGAAATCCAGTCCATGTTAAGACTTTTCTTTTGTGTCTTTTGCCACAGAATACAGTGTGATGAGAGGGGATTTACTGCCCTTCAGTGAGGTAAAAAAACAAACCAGCATTCCCTTACATAAATGGTTTGTTTGCTTTCCTTTTTTTTTTGCTTTCCCTGGTGGTGTGAGAAGACCTTCCTCCCCTCCAAGAGGGCATGGAAGTATTTGGGTAATCAAGGCCTGCAAGTTGCCTTGTCTCAGTGTCTGTGGGCAGTGTAGTCTGCCCATGCTGGTGCCCAGGTGCCTCTGCAGGTCTGCCTTCCCCCCCAGGAGTCTTTTTTTGCTCTCTCCATGAGACAATTTGCTGGTAAGTAACACAGTGCCAGTGCCCTGGGTGGAGAGCTGGTGCTAGAAGGGCGTCCCCATCACAGCTCACAGCTCGGTGCCTTTTTCCTCCTTGTCCATGGAACCAAAAGAAGAGGCAAAACTTTGGCTGGCACCTCTTGCTCAGAGCTCAGGGTTTACCAAGGCCAGCCCTGCTCTCTCAGCCTCCCAAGCTGCTTTGGTTGATTCATGTTGCCTGTTTGAATAATCCAAGCCTGGGGCAGCAGGGACAGCGTGATGGCCAAAGTCATCTTGGTAATTAATTCTTTCAGAGTGGATAGCAGGGATCTAAACACAGCTTTCCTGGCCAAAGGGTTTTCTAATGCTTTCCAAGTAACAACTATTATTAGAGCTTGTTACCCAGCATTTTCAGAAGTTTTATGTGCAGCATTCCTTGACATGCTGTTCTTTTCCAACCAGCTCCATCAGCAACTAAGGTGGCTTTGGATAATTCAGCTCTTTAAAGTGAAAATTTTTCTGTGGTTCTCAATCCATTTTCCTTGTTGCTAGTTAGGTCTAGAGCAGCAAGGGGCCATGTGTATGAGTGTTGGGATGAGACTCATCTCCCTCAGAGAGATTTGCACCCAGATTTCCCATATGTGTTATCCAAAGGGGGCTGCAGTGCTGCACAGGAATGCCTTTCACCAGAGATACTGTTCCCAGCAGGAGAGCTGAGCAGGAGTTTATATTACTCTGCAGTGCTTTGGCCTCTAAAGGCCATCATCTGCATCAGTCAGAAAAGGAGATGCTGCAGCTCTCTTGGCAGCCAGTGGGTTTGCAAGGGCAGCATTCATCCTGCTGGAGAGCCTGGCCAGGCTGCAGTGAGAGGGGGAATGGGTCTGGACAGATGTGGGAATTGAGGTGGACAGGGAGCTGGCTTCACCTCCAGATGCAGAGAGCTTCAGCTTGAAACCCTGGGAGACACCCAGCTAGGAGGAAAGACATCCTTTGACATCATGGTGAGAGAATAGAGAGAAGAGTTGTCTCATGGGAACTAATATGTTAACCAGTTTGTTACAAATAAGATGTTCTTGGTTTTGAGATATGGTTGGCTAATGGCCAGCTACATCTATGATTCTGTTCCTTATCCTTGTTATTGATTGGATCCTGTGCCCTCCACCCCATCTGTACACCTCTGTGCTCTCTGGGTTTCGAGGTCTTTGGAGGTTGCCCCTTGTACCATGCAGTTTCTATGTTTGTTATTTTTACCTGGTTCTGTTGTGGCCACCATAGACAGACTTTCAGGACTGCTTTAAAAGTAGTAGCTCATATCCCTGGTACAGAATGAGATTCTTCAGTGCAAAGACTCCTTACAGCCTCATTTTGACAAGACTTCTCTGGAGGTGGCAAACGTTTTTGTGATCTGAGCATCTTCTGCCGAATCCAGAGACACCTGAACTAATCTGAATGGATTAATTGGTCTGACTAATAACTGCTGATGGAGGCAGATGGTGGTGCTGCCTCAGCTACAGTCATGGTGCTGCAGTGAATTGTTCAGAACTAGGCTGGATAACTCTCCCCCACACTTCTTAGTGCCAGATCCTCTGGCAGTGCAGATCTGTTCCCACAAAAGGTGCAATTTACCTTGTCATAACTACTGGGAAATTCTGTAGGAGAAGATAAAAAGGGCTCTTATTGAGCATCTTTCTGGTGAGAAATAGTTTGTCCCTCTTTATCTGGAGCTGAGCTTTCTACTTCTCTGATGCTATTTTTGGTCAGGGACTTTAGGAACTTTACTCTGCTTCTTAAGCATCTTCTATTGTACTCCCACCAAACTTGCTAATGAGTTTAGGAGGAAAGCAGTCTCCATAATTGTCTAACAGCATCTCTTGTACCCTCTGAAATACCTGATTCTGGCTCCTGTCAAAGGCAGCCATGCTGACAGTGCTTTTTGCCTGCTCTCACTGCTTCTCTGTTCCTCCTGGCTAGCTGCTCCTTATCCTAAATGCTTGTGGTTGGTTGGTTGGTTGGTTGGTCTTGTCCTGTTTACAATCCCAGCCTCTGGATTACCCAAATCCTGGGAGATTTTTTTCCACACTGGAGTTGAGGCCTTCTTGGCCAACCCTTGAGCTTGTGTTCAGTTCTGGAATGAAAATGGGATGGTTACATTGCTGGTCAGGATGTAGCCTGGCAGCTGGATGGGTTTCTTGCATGTGCAGAAATCCATGAGCACTCTCAGGCTACAAACTGAATTTGACAACTCAGTGCAGTGGCTGCCCCATGGATTTGCTGATGTGACAGTGTAACAATGGAGTGAAGACACACGAGGTGTTGTGGCCATTCATCCCTTCTCCTTCATTTCCAGTTGCTTTCCAAGCCCATGTTTTTCCGGCAAAACTCGGAGCGACGCAGCTTCAAACTGCCGGACATACGGAAACTGAGCCGTGATGGGACTGGGTCACCATCCAAAATCAGCCCTCCCTCAACCCCCAGCAGTCCAGATGACACCTTCTTCTCCTTGGGAGACTCTCAGAATGGCAAGAGGAGAAGGAAGATTCCCAAGGTAAATCTAGGGCTTTGTCTTTTTTGTTTGGCTTCTTCCAGGCAGGAATGTGAGTATGAGATCAGGTTTTATTTAATTTCCAGCGTGTGGCATCCCTGCAAGGTAGCTGCTGTCCTGGCTCTTGACTTGTGTTTAACCCCCTTTCTGCCTGAAAGAGAAAGCACACAATCATGTCTGCACCTTTCAAAGAAGTTTTTTTTGTCCAAGACGTTTCATAATAATTAAAAAAAAAAAAAAGGGTATTGTAATTTTGGGATAGAAGTTGAAGTATGTCAGAGGGGAAAAAGGCAGTTCATATTTTGCAAAAGATGTACCCCATCATACTTCCTTCTGTGCTTCCTGAATGGGACAGTCAGAAATTGTCTGTGTGTTGTGTGTTTGTTTCCTCCTGGAAATCTGTTGCTCTTTGTTCATTCTGGTTGGTGCACTGGCTGTTGATAATTTAAGGTAAGGTGTGATTGTAGGAGAGCAATGAACATAATGACAACTGAGTGACAAAAAGGACTTGTCTGCAGTTATGAGCACTTTGTGCAGCAACATTTCCTATTTCATACTTGGATACAGAATTACTCCGTTTAAATTTTATTTTCTTTCAGATCTGGCAGGATGTGTATTCAGTCCAAATGAGGTTTGGCAGCAGTCTATCTATTGAATGTTTCAAAAACACAGTTATAAAAACACAGTTGCTTATCCCAGTCTTTGCAGGACAAGCAGAGGCTACCAGAGACAGTCTGTGGTGATTTTTTTCCAAACCCACAGTTTGCATTTGGGGAAAAAGGGATGTGTTTGTGTATCTTCTTTGTTTCCTGGTTGCCAGATCTGTGTTCATGTTTGCATATCTGATTTTTGAATGCCCTCTCTGTGTGCCTCAGCCTTTCAGGAATGAGCCAAAGACTGCAAATGTTTAGGGTTTCTTTCCCAGTATGTCTTCATATCTGTGCATGGGCTTGAGCTCTTGTCAGTGTGTTCACACATACTTTTATGTCAGTTGAAGAGAGGATTCCAAGTATTTATTTACCCCACAGTGCCATGGGCAGTCTTGCAGGGCCAGCTCAGAACTGAGGTTTGCTGTGTCAAGGGCAGCATCACCTGAAGCTTGAGATTGGCATCTGGGTGAAGGCTGCACTTCCACATCAGAGCATCCTGCCTCCACTTAAATATTTGTATTCAGAGTTCTTGACCAAGTAGGTGGTGGGAGTGTCTTACCTTGAGCTGGCAAGATGTGTGGAGGTCAATCTGGAATCCAAATTTATTCTGATTATTTATGGAATGAATCTGAATGCTGGGGCCATATCCAGCAGCTCCTGCCTGGCACCTTGAGAAGGAGGCAGATCTGCTGCAGCAGGAAGCCTGGCATGGCTCTGCTGCAATTCCCCTCCCCTTCAGGAATGGACAAGGAGACCAGAGGCACTGAATGAGCCACTAAGCCCAGCATTGCCCAGCACTGAAATGTCCCCTCTCATGCTGGGAGCCCAGGGATTACAGGATTTGCAAAGGAAACCACTGGTGTAAAATATTTCAGTATCACTGCCCTCCATCCTTCTCAATTTCTTCAGCCATCCTCCAGCCAGTTTTGTGCTCCCAAAGCTGCAGACCAGGACAGGTCACCAGGGGACCCTGTGGTGCTCCCTGGAGCATGGATCATGGTATGGAGAGATGGATTCTGTCAAGCTGCACAGTGTGGAAGTGCTTTAAGGTGTGGGCTTTCATCAGGGTTTGTTACCCTGGGCTCCTGCGTGGAGCTGGCACTACAGCACAGATCCTGGGAATTTGGGGATCTTCACATCAAGTGAAGAGTTTCAGCATGGCCAAGGTTGGGGTAAAGAGTGCTTTGCATGAAATTCTAACTTAATTTCTTGCCTGGGGAAGAAATTAACCTTCTTTGTTTATTTTTTTTTTTGTGTGTTTGTTGAGCAGCTCGTGTTGAAAATCAATGCCATTTACGAGGCACGGAGGGGAAAGAAACGTGTCAAGAGACTGTCCCAGTCTACAGAGAGCAATTCAGGGAAAGGTAAAGAGCTTCAAATCATCATCATACATCTAAGACTTTCTGAGGACTTGCCTTGCACTTTAGACTTCCTTAGTGGTTTATGTGACACTTTCTAGCACTTCTTCTAGTCCAGACTAAGGTTGATTTGGGGTTTCCACTCTTTTTTTTTTTTTGTAAGATAAGGGCTATTCCTCTGCCCGAAGGACTTTGGTTAAAATGGAAGTTTTCTGTTTTTCTTGCTTCATTTTCGTTCCATGGCTTTGCATGATAACCTTATGGGTCACACCAAACATGTCTCCTCTTTTTGATGTTTATTTCTGGAACATGCTGGAAGCTGTGGAGAGGAATGTTCTGTCCAAAAACGCTGATTTGTTGGGATCAAAATATTTTGTGGGAATGTGTCACTTCAGTGAACTGTCCAATGGAAGACAGGAGATTTTGGAGCAGCCCTGGTTCTTTTACCATCCCAATAAACAAATAGCCTCAGTTGGGAATCAGAGTTTCTACAACTGACTGTAGGACCATCTCCATCTTAGCAGGATTGAGACTTTCAGCCTCCCACTGTCAATTAGCAATTTGCCCAAAGCATTCAGGCACTTCAGAGCAATTACTTTTAAGCATCTCAGCTCTGTAAAAATTAGATTGTGTCTTTCCAACACAGGATTTTTTTCCAAAACACTTTAATTTCCAGCAAAAGGTGACCACCTCTATTTGTTTCCCACAATTATTTGTTACTGTTTATCCTATTTCATAAAGCATAGACAGCCACAATGTGGATGAGTGTGTTTATATGAACTTTCAGGGGAAGCATCCCAGATGTTTTACACCCCTCCCTAAAGCATCATTCAGAGAAATAGATCATTGGGCCATATAGACCTTGAATCTGATTCAGTCTGACAATTTCTTTCTTTTCTTTCTTTTTTTTCTCTTCTCTTCTCTTCTCTTCTCTTCTCTTCTCTTCTCTTCTCTTCTCTTCTCTTCTCTTCTCTTCTCTTCTCTTCTCTTCTCTTCTCTTCT